AAGAGCACCAGAAACCTGCTGATTCTCTTTTCACAGTTCTTGGATATGTAATTTCACACACAGAGAAGAAAAATTGTGTGAAATGTTGTAACTGACATTGTCAGTCGGCAGGAAACCTGAAGAGAGATATTGAGATGGAGCTGAGAAAAGTGACAGTAGCAGAGCAGTACATTTTTATGTGATAGATAGAGCTGTAGGGTGCAGGTCATTGCAGCTGGCATGGGGCAATCTTTGTGTTACTGATATCCCCAGGGCTGCAAAGGCTGAGTGCCACACTCAGAGAACTAACCATGAGGGCCAAAAAGCAGCATCCAGTATATGTCTTATACAGCTATATTGTCCTTCTCAATGTTTGTTCTAGTAGCTTATAGTGGAAATGTCTAAAAATCATCTTTTTCCTACATAGATATAAAAAGCCACAATGAGATTTTAAATTGGACAGTTTTACTGCTGAAAACTAACACAGTGTATGTTAAATTGCTTGTTTGATCAACAGCACTGCACGAATTTTAGATGTGTGTTCTTTCTCAGGTATTTTACAAGTACTAGAAATAAATTGTTAAAAACTGGAAGTAGAGAGTACTGTCTCCAAAAGCACCTTCTAATTTCAAGAGCAACCCTCAGAGACCTTCCTTTGTTTCCCTTGCTATACAATAACTTTACAAGTCTCAAAACAGGAAATACATATCCTAAATCTTCCCTGATGACCATGTGACTCACAAAGGTGGCTCAAAAAATAAATTAGGTACCATAAAATAAGATAAAATAAATCATTCACTTAATTTAAAAATAATATTCTACTGAAAGTTGAAATTACTCTATGGTATCATGCTTTTGATTCTTTTTAAATCTCCTTTTCATGTTTGAGGATATTGTGGACATATTCCATTTTGTCACCTTTAGGATAATTGTTTTGGTTTTTCCTTTCCACATCACTTTTCATTATAGCATGAAATAGGAAATAATTTCATTTTATATACATGTATCAAACAGAAAGCTTTTATTTAATGTGCCATTTTCATAGGATTTTCCTCTACAGAGAATGCAGACATTTTCTGATTTGACATGAAGCTAATTTTGGAAACCTCAGGAACATTTGGAGAATGAAATCCCATTTCTACTGTTCAGGCTTGTTCAGTTTGTTTCTACAAATGGTGATACCAAGAGGTTTTTTGACCTCTTTCTCCGGAAGTATTGTTTCTGTGCTGCATTTCAGCCTGTAACCCTGGCATTGTCCATTTCAATTTCTTCTGTACTTAATGACTGTATTATCATAGAATTAAGATAATAAGAATAATTGCTTCTTTTTTTATGGCACTTCATGTGTTTATGAACAGTCATACACACAAGGGTTATTTTCCAAATCATTTCTCATTTTTGTTGTTCTCTTCTGAGTTCTCTAATTAGTATGTATTTCTTTCTTAATGTGGTGTTCACAACAGCATGCAGCATTCCAAAAGAGTCTTATCAAGTGAAGTAGACCAGAATAATTACCTCATTTCTTTAATGCGTGACATTCTTATTAATGTGACTCAATGCTGAGTATTTGCCTTGTTTTGCCACAGCATTGCATTGTTGATTCATATTCAAATAATTAGTCATCACAAATCCTCATGCTGTTCTCTAAGTCCATGTGCTAACACAGGCTATCCCTCAGCTGCCAATGGGTGCAGGCAGGAGCCACTCTGTACAAAAAAAAGGTATAAAATGTCCTCTCCTAACAAGACTGACACTTTCTGTACTCATATGTGATTACTGGTTCCTCAGATTTACAGGATTTTAAGTATATTCCAGTTGTGAGTGATTTCAAACTGATACCTCAACACTTGTCACTACTCACAAAAATGAAGATGTGCCCTCCCCCTCTGCACACATAGTCTTCAGAAGATATAGACAGAAACATTAGAATAATGGAAATTATCCTTGTCTCAGGGAAAATATTACTGGAGCCATTGTAACAAGACGCATTCCTGCCATGAAGATTTAAGGGATCATTGGCATTACCATTAGAGTCCTGTTTGGACTTTGTTCTTCATGTCTGCATTCTGGCACTGTCTCCTTGAACTGGAAACAGGTATTTTCTGTTCCCATGAGAATCACAGGACTTAATTTTCTTCAAATACTGGCATGAAGTCTCCTAAAGTCTCCCAGCAGAGCTTGTGGCTCTTGCCACAATGGTTGTGAACCATTTGCCAGGAGAGTGAGCATTCTCCTGACTGAGAGGATGCAAAGCCTTTGTTTCCCAAAAATGTTCCACATGTAAGAAGCAGAGTCCCACTGATACATTGATCAATGCACTGTTTTATTCCAAAATGAGCCTGAGACTTAAGTTCAGAGAATGAAAATTTCTGGCAGCATGGCTTCTGGCAGGTGACATCAAATTCACCTGGCGGCCCTGGCAGAATCCTCAGCAAGGTGATTCCGCTGCTCACAAATGTAAAAAAGTTCTTAATTTTTGCCCTAGAAGCTCAGGTTTAATTGCTTGGAAAGGACACAAACATAGCGAAATTAGGACTGTGCTAAGTTCACCCTCCCAGGAAGCAGGCTGCTTCCCTGGAATGGCAGTAGCAGAAGACACAAAGGTTTGTCATGCAGGCTTACCTCCAAAAAAGGACATGAGCCAAAATAATTGACTCAATGCTGTTCAATTTCTCACCTCCTTCCTGGGTGGTTTTATATACAAAAAGACAGGGCCTGTGATCATTATGGTCACTGAATCCTCATCTGAGAAGTGCTGTTCTACAGACACAAACTGCAGGAATTTGGCCCGTATGTTTTGAAGCAGTGACTTGAACATGGGTCTCCTGCATCCCAGTTGAGGGCCCTGATAAGAAGACTGCCACTGTCCCTCTTCCACTGGTCTGACAAATTATTTTCATTAGAGTGAAGCAAAATAAACAGAACTCAAAGGCCTAGTATGCAGAAACCCATGAAGGGAAGCTTCTCCCAAACAGGCATCACAGGAACTCACGTACTTCCAAAGAGACCTGTACAGCTGTCAAATATTCTTATTCTGTTTGAAAACCTTTTCTCTCTGTTTCTTGCAAAAACAAACAAAACCTTTTTTTTTCCCAGGGAATATTACTGTTTTTTCCAGTAATCCTTCTAAGAACCCCAATGAGACATGTACTTACAGAGTTATTATTACTAATCAAAGATATTCTAAGCAAATTCAAACTCTTCCCTCATAAGAGAATTGTCTCAAAAATAGAATCTGGGCGCAGCATAGTAGATTTTGTTGTCTGGGGAATCCTAAAGAATTTCTGTTTCTCTCTGCCTTTTCTTCTAAAAATGGTAATTGAAGTACTTACAATATTGTCTAATCCTAGGAAATAAAACTTGGTAAAAATGCAAACCATTGCACCATAATATCTTCATGTGGCAATTACATAAACAAGGATTTTCAAAAACAGCTGAAGAAATACAGGGACAATGTCTATCAAGTCTTATCTGAAAATACTAAGTACTTCAGATTCCCTTCAAAATTCTGGACATGCAATATTTTACATCTGCAAAGGTAACTGATTTATTAAGAAATACAGTACCAGTTAGACCCCCTGCTAAGTCTTGGAATGCAGGGTGCAATATCAAGAAAAATGCCTCAGATTCATATCAAAAGAATTTGCACTGTTATGAATTTGGGCCAGTAGCCACAATGATTTTTATGATAGGAAAGAAAAATGGCAGACACTGGTTAAATAGATTAGAAAGTGCGTTTAGATTCCTCTGAGATCATGAATCCCAATGGGAGCACTGTTGATCTAAAGATCACAAAGAGATAGGACCAGGTCACGTGCTGATGCAAATGAGCATAGTTTTCTTGACATCAGTGGACCTTCTGTGATTGATTCCAGATGAAGCGATGAGGTGATTTGGGTGTGCTATGCCCTCCTGAAAAGCTGTTGAGAGATGCAGTGAGATCAGTACTGGAGTAGCCTCACCAGAGGCAAACACACAGCCAACAGTGTTCCCTTTAAACAGACATGGAAGGGAAAAGAGCAGCAGCATCTCTCACTGTGTTGGTGGAGAGACAGGATGTGGTGAAAGGACAAAAAGCAGTGTTTGGAAGGGAGGCAATAAAGGCAGTGTTAAGTGACAGAGGCAGAAAGAGCACCTCAAATTATCCCAGAGCTTGTAGGACTCCACTGCTCTCCCTATCTTCAGAAAACCTTTGCTTTTGCACATCTTTAGATGGTTTTTGAGGTTTGGCTCAACAAGGGCTCAAATGTGTTTGCCTGGAAATAGAAAAGAGCAAAGATGAGGCCTACTCTAAATACACTCAAGCTACAGCAGTAGCACAACCAAGTCAACTTCAGTAACTAACTAATGCCAGCACTGCCTACAATTTAGCAATAGCCTCATGGCTACCCTGGCTCTCTGAGCAAAAATTCAGGCAGATTTTTTGATCTGGGCTTCATGGTGTTGTGGCTGGTGTGGCAGCTACACTGATTTGCTGATTATTTTTCAAGTGTTTTTTACCTTAGCACTATAGATAGACCTAAGTGTGTCTAAAGATATTCATCAGTGGTTCCAGGACTACCTAAAATATTTAAAAGTCTGGTAATGTGCTCCCTCTGGAAATGAAATTGAAAGTAATTTATTTGCTTTGAAAGTCTCAAAGCAGTGTAGTGAAGTAAATCACTCCTTATTTGAAATGGCAGTACCAAAATGCAGGACACAAGAAGTTTTCTTCATGGACTCAATAAAAACGGAACACAGATTTCTTTTTTTCCTAAGTTTTGATTTTAATTTTTCTTAGGGCATTATTTACACTATTTAAAGGCATCGCAGGCTGCATTAAAGGCTTTCACAGTTGAATCAGCTTCTCTATAGGAAACTGAAAACTTGTTCTAATATTGTCCCACATTTGCCCATTGAAAGAAAACTTAGAAAGCTCTTTTCAGAGTAACCCCTTTTTCTAATACTGAAACAATTTACTAGTAAACTACCCAATTAAAGCTATATTAACTTGGATATTTTATCTCACTCTTATTTTGCAGAGTCAACAACCCAAGTACAAGGAGACTAATGACTTAAAATTGAGCCCTCTCTGTACAACTGATGGAGTTTTGTTCCTGGGCTATCTCCTTCTCGTTTCATTCAGCATGAATGGCAGATTCCTACATCGTGTCAAGTTTCGGATCACCATAGAAACAAACTAGGAGGCAGTTTCATTAATCATTTAGAGCACAAGAAGTCTAGGTCAGTCTGATTGCAGCATATAGAGTATCATCCTAGCGCCACATGGGACTCAGTTGATTTGAATTAAAAAAGATTAAGCTGCCCCTAGGACGCTCAGCATCATCAGTTTAAGTTCTCATGTAACAGTGGTCTCTGGAGCCACATGGATTAGGAGAGTGAAGCTATGCATTTATTTTTCAGGGCTCAGTGAAACATTAGATGAGTGCAGGTGTCTGAGGGGGAAAAAAGGACAAAGATCACATATAGTTTTTTAGACTTGTTGCTGTTCTTTTGAAACTGGAAACAATAACTCAGTTTTATTTCTCCAGTGACAGTTACCGCTCTTTTTTGGCCATGCAATGGTACATCTGTTACCCAATGTTTACATTTTAGATTTACAAAAATTTCATACTATGAAGCATAGTTTTAGCACAGAGCTGCAAGTTGGGCATTGAAGTTTACATGAATGCTGACTTTTGCTTCTCCTGATGGGGTAAAAAATGCGTGAAATAAATACTGGTGACATTTTAGTTTTGCTTGAATGAAGATTTATTGCTCCCAGGAAACTGACATACAGGCAGCTACAAATCAACTTGACTATGAAATAGTTGTATATGTACACCACAAAATGAGCCCCCCCTTCCAAAGTACTCACCTTATTTATGGGTCTTCCAGTACTTCAAAGACCTTCAGTAACTTAGTCCAGACTGGTTTATTGCTTTGCAGAACTAAGACATTTCAAGGGGAAAGTTGCAGGTTACAGTGTATTAGGACTCTTTCTCTTGGGGGTCTAAGAATCCCATGATGCTATATGAACTGTTGATCTAAAGCTTATTACAGCATGACTTCCTAGAGTATAATTCTTAAATCTTTTAAGTTATACTGTACTGTCTTTAATCCCAAGTGCTAAACCTTAAGGAAGAACAAGCTTTCCAAAACTCAGAACGCCATCTGTGAGTTGATGTAATTACACTTTGTTAAAACACAGTTCACTTACTTGCTCAGACTGCCTGTGACCTATTTCAAATTAAGTTGTTTTAATTTTCAACAAATGTTTTACATAAAACAATCGGGGAACAAAATTTCTCATCACAATATTCCTCCTGAAAAGTAGTTCTGTGGACTGAGTTTCTCCAATTTACTCAATAACCAAAAAATTCCCTATCCTGTGTATTTTGTTCATTTGCCCTTGCTGTGCCAGTTACCTGGGCTGTGACAGTATCGTGAGCAGTGAAGCCTCCTGTCACAACACATCAGGAGGTACCCAGACCATGTCAATACTTTTTTGCTGATGTACTGTCATCCTGGGGATTTCCAGGAAAGAAATGTCATTAAGCTCAATTTTAGAATTTCCCAGCACTGTGCAAACAGACTGATTATGAGAAGGGGGAAGTGAGTATTATTCCCACTTTTACAAGTGAAAGTTGATATGATGTCATGCTTGCACCACAACAGAGGGCATGGACCACCATTGGAGAGCTCCTGTTTTCCCACCTGGTGCTCAGCCCAGATCCTCCTGTTTACAGCTTTCTGTTGATGCCCGGGAGATGGAAAAACAAAAGCTAAAGCATAGAGAAAGAGTCCCGATGGAAGGCACAAAACAGCTCATGGTAGCTAAAGCTTATTGAGTTCCAGCCATGGGCTGGTTGCTATGAAACAGAATAGAACACATGGCCTCTATGAAGCAGCATTTCTATGGTCTACTTCAAGGGTTGCCATCCAGCCATTTCCAGCCAGGTTGGAGAGCTTTGCCATCACCTGGTTGCATGTGAGACTGGTGAATTTGCCTGTGTGAGAAGGGGCAGCTGTGGCACCCCACACCTGCCAGCAGCAGTGATGGCAACCAGGCTGTCCCACCCTCACGTTTCTGCTCCACTGACCCACCAGGTGTCTCCCACCAGCCGGGACATCTGCCTTCAGCCACAGCCAAAGCCTGCCAGAAACAGTCCCTCCAATTGTGTCTCTTGTTCAAAGCCACCAAGCTTGAAGAAGCACAAACAGCCCATTCACAGTGTAAAGCAGTGCCGTGGCAGTGGTGTGGAACTGTGTGGAACTGGCCACCATCTCCTCCATCAGCAGGAGCTGCTCTATTTTGGCTACTTATTTGTTACCTTTGATTCAATATGACTTTTTCTTAATTGCTTTTTTCCCTAACTCTAGAGCAAACGTCTCTCTCTGTAGTCACAGTTTCAGGTCCCAGTGCCCCACAGCTAGAGGATGGAACAGGATGTCCCCTACCTGCAGGTTTCATGAAGGGTCCCCAGACCTGCAGCAAAGCTGCAGCAACCATACATACCTCTCTGTGCCCAGAAACGGGGAGCTAGCTCAAGCACATCAGGAGATGGCTGCCTCTAAATGAAGCTGCAGCTGTGGGTTGTTGTGAATCGTCTTGCATGTGCCACTTTACAGATATCTTATTTTTGCTCTTCATCTTGTGGCCAACGGTAATTTCAAGGTCAAAGCCTACATGCTCAGCTCTATTAACACTTTATTAAAATTACCATGAAGCTGAAAAGGAGATAATTTCATTTTTCTACCAAACACATCCTTCTTCAGGACCCAGACAGGCCTGGAAAGCTGCTCCTGGGCTCCTGCCAGTTGGAGGGAGAACTGTCAGGTTTGAAATTACACAGAAGCCCATGTGGTATTCCTTACTTCTGCTGCTGCCCAAAGCCATCAGAAGGAAGACAGCTTCTGTACAGCCCTTTCTAGCCAAGCAATTGTGGCAGTATTGTTTTTTAATAACCATGTAGCAAAATCACTTTGCCTGGTATGTGTTGCCTACAGATAGTCTCCAAAACATCTTTTGGCAAAAAACATGAAGAAAAGATTCGCATTCACTCTGCTATGTAAAGCTAATATAAAACATTTCTAACTCATTACATTGGCTGACTCTTGTTTTACTCTTTTGCTGTAACTACAGTGACAAAAAAAAAAGTTATGTTCCTTTTTCATTTCACATGGAGTGGATCAGAGTTATTTGAATTCCTGTGCACAGATCATCATCTGAACCATGTGCTTGTTCCCAGCCTTTCACTTATGCCTGACATAAGCAGTAATTTGAAGATGTTGAGGTGTCAAAAAGGATCTGAATCATTCTGACAAACCTTTTCTCATTCAGCTGTTGACCCATAGCTCTGTTTGAATTTGGGAAGCCTGAGGTCAGAATGAAAAACATTATTTTTCTTGTACGCCAAATATATTTGACTGAGAAAAGGTAAGCTAATAAAGATGGAGAGGCAATTTTTAATGTCACTTTTTAGAGTACAGTAATTTGTCTAATCTTATTGCCTTGGAATATGATTACACGTAATACATTCACATTACACAGGAGGGAATACATTTGGGAAAGAAATTATATGTTTCTCTTCCATGCCCAACATATGGAAACGTATAAAATAGGAAGGTCTAAACTTTGCCAGTGTTCACAATCTCTTGTCTGTGGGAGGAATAATGTAATTGTTTGGAAATTTCTGGTGACAAATGTACTAATTTGAACCTAAGTGAATACAGTTCACCCAATTTAATAATTTTGGGTTATGCAAAACATTGGCATACAGCAAATCTCTCAGTCCATACACTAATCAGTGAAAAATTCTTGGCCACTTTTCCATAACTCTCTGGTTGTTGCTGGTAGCAAGCAGAGATTTACTGTAGGAATTAAAGAAGCTTCATTCCTCCCATCACCAGCAGCTGTTTGTCACTGCAGTCTTCCTGGGCAGGGCGGAGCTGTATCAATCCATGGTATGCATGACTCACAGGAAAGTAATAAAAACCTGGGGCTAGAAAAGGCCTCAGGAAGGCAACTAGCTCATAGTGCAAGAGCTAGAGCAGCTCATTTAAGATAGAAACATAAGTAGTTGAAAAGCACATGCAGAGGAAGCATCTGGGTGAGTCTTCTGGAATGCTGTAAGTACTGGGACTTCTGCCTGCACATCAATCTCCATATGCAGCCTGGAGCGCTGTGAAAAGTCCGTGACCACAGCTCTTTCCAAACAGCATTTGGAGGCAGTGCATAAAAGCCTAATGCAAGAAATACCCACCTCTAGACTTAGAGTCAACCACAAGCACATAGAGTTGTTCAAGAATCCTGTGAGCTGCACAGCTTCACCAGTGATGGATTTCATCATTACTATTTCACAATAGATAAGGTCCAGAACCAAAATACAGAAGTCCTTTTTCACTCTGAATAATTCACAACTCTGAATTATCTGTTGTGGGATAAAGTCCATACCTTGGTTCCAAATTGTAGGTATTATATGTGCATTTCTGTTTCATTAAGGCAAAGTGTATTTGGGTAGCTGTCATGTAGTGCCTGGAATGTGATGGAAACAAGAGGTCCTGGCTGCCTGCTGCTGAGGAACTCCCAAGACACTTCTCACAGGAGCAGCGGTGTTAACCCTGATATCCTGGTCAAATTCCAACATGGTTAATTATATCCCGCTTTTACCTAAAGCTCTGCCATACTTTCTCTGCCTGCTGCAAGGACTTGCTGCACGCAGCAGGCTCTCTTCTGGTCCTCTCGAGGGTTATTGCCTTTCACATCAGAGGCAATGGTACTTGCAGAGTATATGCAGTTAGTTATCAGTTTGTAAAAGTTCCTAACCAGCACAGAACTGTTAAATTAAAACTGCAGTTATTACTATGTAGGGTCTGAGGCAAAAGAGTAAAAAAAGCTCCTGCAAAAGAACGAATAAATAAACCAGGGCTGCAAATGAAATTAGGAGCAGTAACTCATGTATAATGGCAATGACCACCGTAGTGGAGTCCATCATGCTCCACTATGTGACCAATGCCTGAAGGAAATTAGAGAAGATAAATGTGAGTGGGAACAGAGCACTGAACAAAGTGCAGGGGAAGAGCAGCACAGGTGAATATCCCTTGGAGATAATAATAAGGAACCCAAAGGAGAGAGGGAGAAGACTATGCATTCTGAGTTCACAGAGTTCACAGGAACACTTCATATGGACTGATACCATCTGCTGATGCTGCCTGTGAAAATACAGTGATTCAAGACTTTATAGTAACTGAATCTTCCCCAGGCTCTCAGGTCTGTGTCGTTTGCATACTTATTAAAAGCTTTTAAGAGATATTTGTAGCTATGTAAACTACAGTGAGATTGAACAGTGGGAAAAACCCCATGCATTTAAAATTTTGGCTATGAAATTTTGACTATGAAATAGAATATCAAGGATAATGTTAAAATGGCAATATCACATCTTACTGTTTGTTTGGAAAGCCATTGCAGGTGTGGTAGATAATACTATTGGAAATGGCTGCATGGAGTCTTTTTGCATCTTCCTTAAAAATAAATATTTCCTGAAGGAAAGAAAATTTTGTATATGCATTTACATACCAGAATGTATCAATCTTCTTAATTTTTCAGCATCAGCAGCCACCAAAGTGTCATTGAAATTAACAGACGTGACAGGTTCACCAAGAGGGGCTGAAACCAAACCAAAGAGTGGATTTCCATACTCTGGAAATCATTCTTACCCTTCCTTGCTCTCTTTTCATGAAAATGCAAGCTGTTTATATGTCTGCCAGGTATCCTGCTATTTAGAGAGTTCACAGGGCAGCATCCTTATAGCTCACCTCGTGTTAATAGATTCCTACTTTCAGGGTTCTCTTCTCTCTGATATGTACATGTAGTCACATACAC